TGGATACGAGTTAAGAGTAACTATCCATCACTGTAACATGATACTATATACAGTCAGAAAGTGCAATAACTAGGCACAAAACTGACAGAGTACTGAAACATTCGACGTCCTGACACCTAGCTTTAACACATTTCAGTACTCTGTCAGTTTTGTGCCTAGTTATTGCACTTTCTGACTGTATATAGTATCATGTTACAGTGATGGATAGTTACTCTTAACTCGTATCCATATGTCTTTTTCTCTTCCACATTTATTTATGGCTCAACATCCGAGTTTCACATTTAATAATGATAGAAATATTTACGATACTTCTCCAGACGTTTCGTTGTTCTGAACAACATCGTCAGGGGATAAAGAAGAGATTATTTATCCACTGACGATGTTGTTCAGAACAACGAAACGTCTGGAGAAGTATCGTAAATATTTCTATCGTTATTAAATGTTATCAAATATACCACTCTTTGGTCTAGAAAGAATACTTTTTTGATATTACAATGAGAGTGAATAATCAACGGCTTGTCCACCAACTCTTTTACAATTATGTATGCGATTGTATTGATAAAATGTAATAGCAGGCGGGCATGGTAGGTTGGTCTAAGACCATGATTGAGAAACAGAGCTCTTTTACATGCGGGTTGCGACTAACAGTACTCGTTGCCTGGCAATAGGGAAAAATGGATGCGGTGAATAGGTTTTTCGGTCTTCGGCCACTTCGGAGGTGGGTCTGATCTACAGTACCTTTTAAAAATACCTCCCACTACGTGACGTGATGAACTGGATCTGTGCCTTGAACCACAGAGGGTGGTGTTCCAACGGATTCTCATCTATCAATCATTTGCGCATGAATGTCTATAAAATCAACCACGTATTCCTGACTCCATGAAATTGTCTTTCTATTATTTGACTCCATGAAATTATTGCCTTTCTATTTTTGCCTCCATGAAATTGTCTTCATATCTCTTAATTTGCTGGCCGAAAATCCTATATATAGGATTTGAAAATGTGTGCCTTTTATGCCGTTGTTATTGGTCATCACGACCAATAATACCGGCATAATGGTTTTCATGGAAGTTGTAAATATGTTTGAGGCATGAATGTTTACATTTTAGATTCATAGGGCGATAATATTTCTGATGAATACCTATTTTCCGCAATAATTGGAAATTTGAGCATAATTGTTCAGCTGCTGTCATCACTGGTCATGGAAAGGACTGAAGCAGTGAATGTGCAGAAGAATATTACAGGTGTGGCACGGGATGGCTTCATGACGACATATCGCACATGCCGTCACGAAACTACCAGTTTTAAGGATAAAACAAGGTCCAATAAAATCTCAAATCCTATATATAGGATTCGAAAAATAGGGCACAGGCCTTAGTAATATTGGGCAAGGAGATGAGCCTAAGATGTTAGTGTTTGAAAAAATTATCTTATTCAACTCTCGATATCTACTAAGACCTAGCAAGGAAGAATTGGTCACATACTTTTTGCTATTCTCATGCCACACCCATTTTGAGTTGAAAAATATGACCCAAATCCTATACATGTATATAGGATTTAGCAAATTAAGAGATAATGTTTTCCTTTTCTTCTTTTGGTCCTTTCTGTCTTATATCATTACCATTTTGTTTTCCCTTGCATATCATCCCTTCATCATTCTGTGAGAACCTGTCCTATGGGCAGGTGAGAAGGCATCTCTGCCTGTTCATTTGGTGAAGTAAAATAAACAACAACAACAACAACAGCAACAACGGATGCGGGAAACTCGGTCTCTCGTCGAGTTTCACCCGAACTGTGAATCTTGTTTTGATTGGGAGTATACCCTGTCGGGCGCCAAAAATCGAAAGACGGCCGATCCGACTGGTTATGGTCTCAAATGAAAGCTATAATGTGGAGGGGTATCTCCAGAACATTTTGGCGAGATCGGAATACCCAGTCAAGAGTTATTAGAGAGGTTTTGCATTCCGAATTTCGGAATTATTTTCGGAATATGGCCACGGGTGGCTTCACAGAGCAGCTTCTTGTCAAGTTGGATAAAGAAATAGTGGCTGCTGCAGAGAGAAAGCTGAAGGAAGCAGAGAAAACTCGCAGAAGACAACGTAGGAGGCGTAGGAAAGGCATTGAGGAGCAGAATCTAGAAGATTAGGGCACTACAATATACAGCTGGTGAGTTTTGAACTCATCTTTGAACCGATTTTGACACCCAAAAGTTAGCTGTAAATAGGGTAGTTTAGGCCACCGTTTACATTGTATCTCAAGAACGCTTCAATACCAACCTGAAAACCTATACATTTTTGAAATCTGTGTTTCGTTGGCTACAACATGAGTGGAACAGTTTTTGTTTTTGATCCTTGTGGCAATGGGACTGCCTGGTTGAAAGTAAACTTCTATACGCACGCTTCGACAACCCTGAATGGTGACTTTGCTAAGTAGCAAATAGAAGAATTTGATGCACTTTAGTTTCACTCATTTTTTAGCTTGTGGTATCCCGTCTTGATTCAGGGTATCTCTTGAACCCAGGCACTGTACGTACTCAGAGACAAACTTGAGTCAACC